TCTCGGTAAATAAGGAGAATCATTCTATTGTATTGACTTAGGTACTCTATCAACAAAGGATATGAAAGATAATTCTTGACCTCATCAGTATGCGTAATCTCACAATGCCCACTCATTGCTTGTACCTCAATCGCTATCAACACATGAAATCTCTTTTTAATCTTTCATATAAACTTTTTCTTCTTCATTCAATTCATCTATTTACTATGACGAGTCACTCTTCTTCTACATCATTCTTTTACTCTCCGCCTCCCCCCTCTTCCATAATATTTAATCCAAGTCATTCAACCATCAAGATACGCTTTCCCCTTCATCTCGTATCACCTCACCGTAATGGGCTTCCTTTACCTGGCGTCCACCCACTACCTCCTCCAAAGCTAGAAAATCCACTCCCATTTACACTCCCACTTCCCCCAGAGCCAAACGGTAATGTTCCGAGTGGCTTTCGAACCGGTGTACTTGGTCCCTTCAAGCTTGCACCACCATCTTCGTTACCATTTGCTGGTGGAGTATTGGTTCTGCTAATATCCCTCCCCTCTCTTTCTCTCTCTCTTTCTCTCTCTTTCCTAGCATTGAAGCTGGGTGGTCTAAAATTGCACGCTTGTCCTTGTCTGTAAACTTCAAGTAACAATTCCTCCACTGACATCCCTCCGACTTCTTCTGACGCAATCCATTCTTCCCATTTTTTCCATAATCTCAACGCTGTTCTTGCATCTTCAATACTATCATGCGTCTCGACTTGAATATCTTCTCTGAATAAATACCATGCCAAGAACGCCAACCCCAATTTTCTCTGTTTGGATGGTATAAAGAAAAGATCAGCTGTATCAATCACATGTGATTTTGGTATTTGTATATTAATGACTCTAAAGTCTGTTTTAAGTCCATGACCAACAAATTTACATCCAAGGTTTAACAGAATCCAGAGTTTCTTGTAAGCAATCTTGAGAGAAACGAGATTGTGTTTCGTTTTTTGTGGATCGAGGTCGCCAGGACTAATGCCCGAATACGACGTCAAATAGTCAATAATCGGATCTTTGCAATTGATGTAATCATCAATAAATGGATATCCTTCATCATCACCTGAGCCTCGAACAACAGAGACACGTGCTAGAGCGTGTGCAATAGGTCGGATAGTTTGTCTTTCGCCTTCGGAGTTGACTTCTATTTCGGGCTGACGAATAGAGACGAATTCAGTATCGAGAGCTATGAGGGTTCCTTCGGTTGGCATTTCACGATCTGGGGAGAGAGTTTTATGAGTTTTATTTATGACGCGAGTACTTGAGGTGTGTTAGCAATTGTAAGAGGTCGAAAACAGAGGAGACAAACTTTTCATCGGCAAATAAAAGAGAAGTGTCTAAATTGTCCTTCCATGAATTGTCGATCCGATTATTCGTTTCCTTCACTTGATAAGTGATAACGGATGGTAGTTTCCAGCTCGAGTTAAAAGATAGAGCATCTTCTTTTGGTATCGGAGTAACTAGGAAGTCATTGAAGAGATGCCATTGACTTTTTGCTGGGGGAGTTGGCGCAGAATGAGCAACTATGATATATTAGTACATGTCAAAGCAAAAGGGGAATATGAGTTTCACCATTTATCAAAGATACCAAATGAGGTTTTTCGTTTTGCCCGACATCAATTTCCGCAGCGAAACCTACCAAAGAATAAACAGTAATGTTATGAGCACCACGTGCTATGTGAAGTCTCAAATCTTCGCCTTGATAACAGTAGATTTGGCCCATATTAATGATAGTTCCTATCTCTTCTGGCAAACAACCCGGTGTTTCCCAAAACTGTTTTGACTCAGGACTTGAAAGATTTGCATTGAGCATAAGAACTGGTGGTGAGGTATGGATAGTCTTTTTCGTTTGTAAGGTTTGGTATTTTCTACAAGTCCCACACCATCCACGGTTTGTTGTTTCTCGTTCAATGCTTGCTTTTAAAACTTCAGAAAATGATTTCTTAGGCATTGGCGGTGCCTTGCCATTTCGATTGTATGGTTTCTGGTATATTTAGCATGATTCAAATGCTGCGTTGAATCACCAAACTTACAGGTGGTGTTTGCGGATACGTTAGGTCAATAGACGAGGATCCACCTGGACGTGTATGCTCACTTTTACAAAAGACACACCTGATATTCATTGTAACGGGCATAGAAAAAACCTGAATGATCAGCAAAATTCTTGACAACAGTATCAGGTCAGGTACTAACACGCTCAAATATGTTCGAGCCACTAGGAACGCTTTTAAATTCTTGTGGAATCCTATTAAGAAAAAACTGATTCAATGACTGAAGTAAATTTGAGATTGAACCTCCACGTGATTCTTCCTCTAATAAGTGCATGCTCTTAGCTATTAAATTATCAGCAATGTAAAGATTATTCTCAAGAGGTTACTCACCCTCTGGAATATGGCTAAATGTTTTCAGCAGGTTTGTCGCTTGACATACAGTCCCTGCTGCTTTCTCCAACATATCAAACAAGAAACCCATTTCGCACAACAAACACATATCATTAACACAACCCGTCGCAGTGTGCTTCAAAGCAAAATTTCGAATGAGAATCGTAAATCTCATTATTTGCAACAAGGAATTAGCATACGAATTCGAGATGTGAGTCTCGAGTCCCGAATATGGAGTCTTATTGTAGTATCTACCTAACGTTAGCAAATCCTTCAAAAAGGGGAATTGGTACCTACCCAAAATCAAAATCATCGACTCCAAACTTGCTATACTTAATCTCAACATTCATATAGAAAGCACTGTTACCTGCTTGTAAAGTAGGGAGCTTTTTATCCCTAATGATTTCGGCAATTTCATCAATACCACGTTCAGGAGTTGCATCATTAACGCCTTCTCTAGCCCTTTCACTCAAGAATTTCGGCGTTTGTATACTCGGTTGCATCCTTTCGGCTGTTCCCCTACTCTCTATTTGATTTCTTCTAACATCTTTCCTTGCATTTTTGCCACAAATCATCCCATCTCCAACTTTAGGATTTATAATCCAATTTGGGTCAACCTTGACCGGTGGAGCACCGACTTCGAAAATGAGATGACTCGGCCAAGCAGATAAAAGATTTTCTCGATAATATGGCATACCAATGGTATTCAATGGACTATTTAATGTTCAATTAGCAAGATAAAAAAGTGGTAGTTTTCCACACTTACGTATCGTCGCGCCATTCGTGAATTTCACGTACGGGTTTATCCTCCGTATCCGCAAACTCAATAGGACCGCTGAGCTCGGCAAATCGAATATTGCCACGCGAGCCCCATATATGTACACTGTTTTCCATATCTGATAACGCAATAGCGTTTCCTGTAGCTGCAATCTCCAGAGATCTCAATGTGGTTAAAACATTTGCTTGTCTGACGTTGCTTGAATTCGGATTGATCAAATCGACTATATGGATTTGACCCTGCTGCGAAACAATATAACAGGTAGTCAACATTCGCGGGTGCATTCTAACAAATGCTGCTCCTGGAGGAAAGGGAATAGGAGGTAAAGTCGACAGAGTCCTAAGATTAAGCACCATGACAAAAGTATCGAGCCTGTATGCTGATCCTTGATGTGGTATCGAATATCCACAAGTGAGTAGATAGTCACTTTGCACATCCATATCATTGATGAGTGCTGTATGAGCCTGCCAAGTCTTGGTCACCGTGAAGCTGTAAGGATCGAGTATACAAACGGACCCCGTCGGTGTGGCCGCACAAATGGACCGGCTCCTTTTCATGATCTTATAGTGATTGTTCGTCGGTACCTAGAAGTTTAGAAAGTATTCCTCATCTTCGCGGAGTGCTATACCTGTTTCGTGATAAGGCCTTTGTCCACATCAATTATAAACATCTGGTCCTGGATCCCCGCAACTAGTATCTCTAATGTTCCCTTCGAAGTGTAACTCATACATCGTAAGTCCTTCATATCTTCGTGACTATATCCGCAAAGGTATCAGTTCTGGTCTGCGAAGCTTCCCGGTGGGGAGGGTAGTGTCGTACGTAATGTGCCATATGTGTAATCCCCTCCTTGATGCCATATGAACGCTTCTCCCTCCCACTGAAATAACTCCTTTATCATGGAACAGAAATTGACGAATTGGATCTTGACCGGCCGTATAGGATGTATAGGATGTATATCCCATACCTTCGAGGCCATAGAAACTTTTAACGCGTCCCAGTTCATCCCCAATCCAAAATAACTCTTGAGAGGAATCGAATGCTCTCGCAGGAGCTTGTGAAAGATCTGGATGCACACCCGAAGGCGGCAACTGAAATCTAGTGACCTGAGTAAGATCATTAGCAATCGGTTGAATAGAAAGGTGAGCTTCACAAGCAATTTGACCTTGCGTAGAACAAGCCATGCCAGCCAATTCATTGCCGTGGAATAACAATGCTAAGGGCATGGGATAAACAAGGCTGAGAAACAACATAGTAGATTATAACAAGATCAAATTTGGGAAACCATTTTGTGACGATAAAGGAAAGTAGAACTCACTTCCTCCCAATCACCATCCATCTTGGACAAAATTACCATTACCAATCCATGGTTGTGTTGTGTATATAAAATATATTATCGAGTTCCAAAACATGAAGGTTAAGGATGTTGATGGGGTGGAGTCCTTTGATTATTCTGCCATGCCACTTTCATCCTATTTGGCTTTAGTTAGGTTTACAGGGTATTCACCGCCCAAGGGGAGCTCCATTAGAATCCTACAGCATCAAACCTCCCAATACCGAATTCCGCAAACATACAAACATGATGCGCCAAAGCCCATTCAAACCTGAGACCCGCCCAATGTCATTGTTCAAACGCAAGGATTTGATAAATGTAGGTTTTATCTGGCGTTTCCTTTTCTTCGTCCCAAAGTATCATTCCAGATGAACAATTGATTCATTTGGCATTCTTCTTGTTTCGTCGTCTCTGTGAAATCCATTCAATATTGAAGCTGTTTGGAAGTACCTCTATCACCAACAACACAACTATCTTCACAGCTCTTCAATATGAATTTCTATGATGGCGCATTCCTGGTATTGATATCAGCCTGTGGTCTTCTTACGTGGCGACAATATCAAACCAAAGAAGAGTCCACAGAAGATAGAAAGAACAATGATGATATTGCCCCTCTAGCAAAAGCAGAAGCAAGCCGCTTCACCAAATTATTCCTTACTGTCTATTGTCTTGTGATGGCATCAGATTGGCTTCAAGGTAACATATCTCTCTCAATTAGACGATTATCACATTACTAACATTCAAATAGGTCCCTATGTTTACAGTCTTTACAAAGATCAATTTGGACTCGATGAAAAAATCGTAGCATTACTCTTCACAACTGGCTTTCTATCTGGTGGCATATCAGGATACTTTGTTGGTTCATTCGCAGATAAATATGGTCGCAAATCAGCATGTCTCGTCTTCTGTCTTACCTATTCGCTTTCATGCTTTTCAACCATCTTTCCTAGCACTCCAATATTGTTCGTTGGACGAATCTTTGGAGGTTTAAGTACAAGCTTGATGTTTAGCGCTTTTGAAAGTTGGATGGTTACGGAATATCATAAGAGTAATATACAAAAAGCGGGAATGAGTTTGAATAGTCTGTTTGGAGTTATGTCTACTTTAAATAGTGTCATGGCTATTCTGTCAGGTGTTTTTAGCGAATGGTTGGTTCAAATTACAGATGATAGAAGAATGCCATTTATGGCTTCTGCATGTCTTTTGGGAGTTTCTGCATATATCATTACTATCTATTGGGTAAGATCTCTCATTCCTTGAAAAGTCTCTGTCTCTAACTAACCTATTTTCAAGAGACCGAAAACTACGGCGATAGTGCAACCAAAGCTCAAAAGTCCGCCTCTGGCACCTCTGGCACCCCTGAATCTTCCCCCACCCCTACCAACGACAATTCTCCCTCGCGCACTTCCAAAGCTCCCCCTCCTACAACCTCAGCCCTCAGTTTAATCTTTACCAACCCACGGATCTTCACTCTAGGTCTCGCTTCCTGTTTCTTCGAAGGAAGCATGTACCTCTTCGTCTTCTTCTGGACCCCCTTTCTCAATTCCACACAACCATCTCCCTCCTCCCCACCCCTCCCTCTCGGCATGATCTTCGCCTGCTTCATGTCCTCCGTGATGCTCGGTTCCCTAACCTTCACCCAACTCTCTTCCACCTTTCCCTCTCTAACCCAAACCCGTCTCCTAACAATCATCTTCGCCATCTCATCCATCTCCCTCCTCTTTCCTCTTCTTACCGAAAATCAGCATTACACTTTCTACGCCTTCTGCATGTTCGAAGCAATGGCTGGTTTGTATTTCCCATCCGTGGGATCACTCAAGGGAAAGTGGATAGAAGATGGTGTTCGAGCACGAATTTATGGTGCATTAAGAGTTCCACTGAATATTTTCGTCGTAGTCAGTCTAGCGTTAGTGAGAGAAGGGGAAGAGTATCGACGAGGAGTGTTTTTAGTTTGTGGAGGCTTGTTGGTAGCGATTAGTGGGATTTTTATAGATTTGTTAGGGAGACTTAGATTTTGGACGTTAGATAGACGTTGGATGTCAGATGTCAGATGTTAGATGCTAGATATCAGATATCAATTGTTCAATTAGATATACTAAATATCATAAATATGCATATAATAAAACAAATATATATCCTTATATTGATGCACATTACACGCTTAATCTAGAACCTTCATGCTTGGAAATAGCAATCTGAGTAGAAGTGGGAGTCTAAATATAAAAGGGAACCCTTTGTATCCCCTTTCTCTCTCCTTCTCCTTCTCCTTCTCCTTCTCTTTCTCTTTCAAAAACGTATAACCATCCCAATGATATCATACGATTCCTCTCCTCTCCTCTCCTATCCTATCCTTCTTTATATTACTATATAATCTTCCTTTATATAGTTAGAAAGTTTTAATTTTTTTAATTTCTAATGTATATAATGTTACAACGGATTAGTAACAGGCTGTAGAATCACCAACGTATAGGCTATAATGGTTTTATTGGAAAAGATAATCGGTTGAAAAAAAACGATTAAATATTACGCTATACTATAATACTAATCAAATCAAAAGATTTCATAGAAAATCTCAAATGATAATGTAAAATTTGATATTAACATTTATATTGATATAAAAAACTAAAATATATAATAATGTTAATTGAATTTGATTTAATATTAAGTTCTAAGATAAGTCAATTTTGATGATAAAAGGGCTTGTACACGAACCCGGGCCCTCTTCAAAAACACGCCCTCGTAGGGGATACTATATTTAATATTCACTCCTCAAACCCCTCAACACACTCAATCACATATACAATTCACAAGTCAAAGTCAATTCCAAAGTCAAAAAAAGTCACCAAGAAAGAGTAAAGTAAAAAAAAAGAAAAGATGTTTCGTATTTCATCTTGGTATCATATCTACAAAAACACTCAAACTCATCTCATCTTATTCCATCTATCCTTCCATCCATCCATCCATCCATCCAACCAGCCATCCCATATTCTATCTCTGTCCAACTCAACTCAACCAATCCAATCCTATTCTGCCCCATCCTATCATATCTTATCAGCCATCATATCCATATCATACCATTCTCATCACCCTTGCCAATCCCCGGGAATATCCCCTATCCCTATACTAGATTTGCATATCTTGAAGATTGCAATCTTGATTTCCCTCGTCAAATGGTATCTATCTCATCACCTCCTACCCCAACTTATTTTATCATTCCTCTTCCCCCAGCCCTCAAAAGTAGAACATAAAGCGAAACTCAATCCTAGAGATCATTTCCATTCCATAAGTACCTCCATGGTTAGTCCTATGAAGATCGTATCCCAGATTCGAGTTTGAGTCTTTCGTTCGCTTCAAGTATCGATCGTTCCTCGCAAGGCAGATGCCTTTTCGATCGCTTCTCTTTTAATATTTACATCTCCTCCCCCGCAAGAAAAAAAAAACCACATGGAGTTCATAATTCCTCCAGCATATCGGTCATGAACAAAAGAAATATGTAGAAAAAGAAATTAAAAGTCCAGCATGCTCGAGTAGTGAGAAAGCCGTATACGTATGATCGGGTAAAATAAAAGTGATAAAACTCCCGCTTGCCCCCCTTGAAAATGCAACGAATGCAATGAATGTACATTGATCGCACCAAAGGAAATTGTGTACCGGAAATTCGCAAATAGGTACCAATAGTGTTGAAATGTCTCATCGAATCATTCTGATTCAACACATTTTCAACCTTGGCTTATAATAACTCTTGCACCTTCCTTTCCTAAGATACCCCTCTCCTGTGGCTTTGGACTGTGCCCTCTCCCCTTCTTTCTAGATAAGAATCCTAACATACCAGTTGGCTTGGCATGCGCTTCTACTAATTTTGCATCTGCGGGTAGGGTTGCATCTTGCTTGGCCAATTCTGACCAACTTCCAGTTTCGCCTAAAACCACTTGCATACCACCACCTTGTGATTCTTTGCGTATTCCACCAGGACGATGAGGGCGGTTGTATGATTGTTGATACGGTGATAAGGGTGTTTTAGTCGTACTTGGTGTATGTGTATGAGGTACGGAACGAGGAGGTCCTAATACAGGGCTAGTATTTTGAGAAGGTTGTTGAGAGCCAGGAATTTGCGAGTTAGGAATTGGTGGAATATTTGCACTATTCGATGGCGATTCTGAACGTGAAGATGGTTGAGACCGCGAAGCAGCTCGTTTCCGGTTCTTGGATAAAGTACGCGTGAGAGTGGCTTTTGGAAATTCATCAGAAGTTTGTGATGCTGGAGTCGACGGGCTAACATTTTGTGTAACCGGAGGCGGGGAATTTGGATCACCACCTTCATTGTATCTAAGATTATTGAGTTAGCATAAGGGGAAATGAGCCGTGGGAGATTGCTAACCTGTCATACGCTGCCTTGGTGTAATCAAATGTCGTATATTGAGCTTCAATCATCTTGTGAAGTTCTTCCTCCTTAATTTCCTTCTCTGTCGCATCCTCCTTGAGAGCCTCTCTTGGTTTTTGTCGACGTGCCCGAGCTTCTAAAGGTGCTTCTTCCAGTAGTAATTCCTCGAGATCATAAGTAGCGTCGAAATTCGTCTTTTCACTAGACGGGACGAAAACTGGCTCTATTTCCTTTCTCTCAAGTGCCTCGAAATCTATGGGTCTGAAGAAAGGGTTATCGGTAAAAGTTTCGAATCCGGCTGAACCCATTCGCTTCGCTGGATCCTCCTCGAGAGCTGAGCTAATGGCATGTAAACATGGCATAGAAACGGCTGGTGCTGTGATTGGGAAATTTGGTGAAGCTTTGGTTATCTGTGCTGCTAGAGTTGTCTGTGTACTACCTTCAAATGGCCTCTGAATACATTGGTTAGAACTGAAGACTGAAAAGTGGGGTTGACAGAATATTGAAAATGAGTCGAATAATACCTTGTTGTAGATACACTCGTAGAACAGTACTCCTAATGACCACCAATCTGCGCCAGGTCCATATCCACATCCTTTGTAAACTTCTGGTGCGAGATAAGCTAGAGTGCCAGATTTGCTAGTCAATAATCGGTGTGAGGTGTAATCCGATGCAACATTCTGCAGGATGTCAGCGTTGTGTTCAAACTCGGGACGTGTTCGTGGGAGGACAAACAAAATCTGCTAAATGAATATGTCCCTCGGAATCCAATAAAACATTGTCAGGTTTGACATCCCGATGTATGATACCCTGCTTGTGTATGTACTTTAATGCAATTCCAAGTTCGGCAATCCAAAATTGGACAGCTTCCTCGGTGAAGGTCTTTCTCGAAATATGGAATCGTAAATCTCCTCCGTTCATCAAGTCGACGACTAGATACCTGTTTGTTGAAAGATTAGTGAGTGCTTGTGGACCAGGTCTAGATCCAGATCCAGATCCAGATCCAAATCAACGTACATGTATTCAATATCTTGAAAACTATATCGCAAGTTACAAATAAATGGGTGGTTTAGATGCTCCAACATTCGTCGTTCTCGAATGATGTTCCGTACGCTTTCTTGTCGAACAACTATATATTCCAGAAATCAGTAGTCGTTCCAGATTGGAATTCAGTATCACCAACCCTCATCCTTGCGAATGTACTTGAGCGCAAACGTCAATCCAGTATCCTTTCTCTCTACAATCCTCACTTTTCCAAAAGCACCCTTTCCAACAACTCGCAGAAGTCGAAAATGATTGAGGCTCACTATGGTGAAGAAATCAGATGTCAGCAAAAGTACCCATGGTGGTGGTGTGATACCGGTAACAAAGACTAAGAACCCCTCAAGAATTCGAGGAATTACTAGCACATTCTCTTGCCACTGAATCCTCTACCAAGCAAATTCATTCATACCTTCATCTTCGAAGTTCACCGGCTTTCCAGAACTGTTTCCCATGGGCGCAAAAGTCTGGGTGAAATCAAGACTCCTATCTCCCCTTATCCTCGAGTTGACCAATAAATTTCTAAGGAAATGCGATTGAATTTGTAAATGGAGACATTCGGCGCAAAACTATCCAATCATGCGAAATTGAACTGAATCTATCTCGAGACAACCGAAAGATGGAAGGTTTTGGTTCGGGTCGGGGATCTTTTTATGGACAATAAAGTTGATTATATTTCTTGAAAGGAAATTGCAAGATGTTGTTTGTATGAAGCGAAATATAAGTTCGAAATGGGGTTGAGTTGAGTCGAGTTGAGTCGAGTTAAGTCGAGTTTAAGTTGGTGGAGTGAGAGAGTGGTCCTTTGTGTGGAGAATTTGAAAGTATTGATTGAAATGAATTATCTTGTGAATTGAATACCTATTAGACAAGACGGTGTAGAATTTGGGAGAACAAAGATGGGATGGGATGGGATGGGATGGGATGGGATAGGGTGGTAGTCTCTCTCTGGACGAGAATCTTCTTCTTTTTCCTTCTTCGTTTCCTTTGGAATGTTTAGGATGAAACCTGGTGTCAGAGATTAAAG